AAGAACATTTTACTGTATGAAAATATCTTGACCAAAATCGGCATTAATAAGTTTCGCCACGTACGTATATGCAAAGTATATCATATAGCTGTTCTTGAGGCAAAATATTCTGTTATCCAAGCTATTTTCATCAAACTCAGCATTTACGAGCTTCACTATTTTCTTTGGGAGCCACCACAGATATTTGTGTCTTTCTTAAGGAAATGAAGCGAATATAAGGTGAAACACGCTTGTTACAAGAGGACACAACTCACATTCCGGTAAGGAAAAGAATATATTTTGTGCTTTCATTGAATTTAAGTATATGGTCTGTCAAACAGGACCCTTTAATCGAAATACAATGCAAGTTTTGCGCTTTTTGAAAAGCACTCCAAAAGGTAATGAAATTTCATCATCTTACAGCTTGACTGATACCTTTCCGAAATATATTATACCCGAATGGGGCACGTAGCACGCAACAACCAAGTAAAGCAGAAAATTAAGAAAACATTTTCATCTTTCGCCTTGGCCGCATCTGAAAGCAATTCATTCAATTGGTTTTCCGGCATCAGCTTTCAAAGGCCGCTTTTAGAATAATGTTCCACTGACTCACCTGACGCCAGGTTGAGGTTCCGTGGCAGTGTCATGCACTACCGCTACTGCCTTTGCCTTCTGTACTAGAGAGCAGCACGCCAAATTTAAAGTTGCAGCATGATGCAATTGACTTGACTTGGGCAAAGTCATTAAGCCTGAGATAGCTAACGTTGCTGCCTGCGACAACAACAGAGGCGCTGCAGCAGCAAACACCAACTGCAGCACCAGCAGCTGCCCCATTGCCCCATCCAAAGATTTGCATGCCGCTGCTGCTGCTGCTCACGCTGCTGCTATTGTTGTTGCTATGGCTGTTTGCTGCTGGTGCTATGGGTGACATTGCCCAAGTGATCCGCAGATTTTGTCCCATCCACTGCCGCACGCTTCAGTTACTGCTGCATCGAAGTGTAGCCGCATATGCGTGGCGGTGGTGGCTTCCCCGGCTGACCACCAGTTTGATCCTGGCCATGGCTCTCTACATCGACAATTACTTTGCTACTCTGTGAGTGACCCATATGGTAACGTGCATGCTTTATGGGCTCTGGAGGATATAGCACCTGCTGATGCGTTGCTGGTACTGCTTCTGTATTGTCTTCACCTCCATCCGCGTTTTGTCCCACTGATAGTTAACACCCGCAAGTATCAGCACATTCAATATGAGCAGGCTGCAACCGATGGCTGTCGAATATGCCGAAAACCATGCCGCCTCGAAACCGGATGCGAGGGTATCTGTCGAGGCATGTGCCAATTTCGTTTCCGCTGTTTGTGTCATTGTTTTTGTTGTCCCCCCAAAACACAGAGAAAATGAGGTGATTAGAGAAAATGAAGGCATTGTACAGTGCAGGGCATTGTTGTAGTTCACTTACCTTATTACTATTACGACGCGTATGTTTAATTCAGTTAATAATGTATATTTATAGAATGTTCGCACATTTTCCTCAAGTGCTAATTGAATCTAATTTGGAAATAAATTGATATTAATTTATTATAATTAACAAACGACGAAAATGGTTAACAATTGTTTACAATGGTTAACAATCCGACCTGAGTGACTCCTAGAACAAGGTACACCAAATTTGAATGTTTAGTTAAGGTTAAGCGGAATAGTCCTAAATGCAATTGCCACAGAGTTAAACTGACCGACTATTGTTGATTAAATCTTGTTGAAACTATTTTGCACAACAAAATATTTGTTTGCATGATTTGTATGCTAAGATCTCTAGTTGCCCGTTTCGTTGTATTCATTTCTTTTCCGGCAAGCAGATAAATACAAAAATGGATTGCAAACACCTGCGTGAAGAGATGTGCAATGCCTTTGAAATTTAATGTATTTGTCAATGTGCCTGAATGTCTAAATTTTGGTTTATTTTTGATGTCGATTTGTTGTTGGTTTGTCTCTGAGTGTTTCAATGATGAGCCTTAAGTGCTGCCAACTCTTGACATTGTTTTAAGCCAAGACATGTGTGAGTGTGAGTGTCGATGTCGTCTGTTTTAAATAGTTTTGGTTTCCAATTTTCTGCATATAGAACCGTTCGCCAAAGTTCTGCACGAGATTATAGACTTGTGCATGTATTTGCATTAATATTTAGAAAATAAACTAAATTGACATGTTAAGCACCCAAGCATTGTCATATTGTCGTCCCTCTTTTCTACCATTTCTTGTTAGTGACCACAGGTGCCATATGCCAACGCAGTGTTTTTCAATTTGCATTTGACATGTTTTTCTTGTCAAGGCGTCAAAATATCAATTTGATTGTGGAATCGAGCAAAACTGAAATTATATTTCGGTAAAATATAATAATTTTCTGTTGCAGACGATAAATAATTTTATAAAATTGATTTAAAAACGCGCGTAGAATTTGAATATGAATTACTCAGATCGAGATGAGTTTTTAAAGCGCAAGTAAATTAATGTTAATCAAGTAAGAGGTTCTAGTCGGGAGCTCCCGACTAGGGGATACCCTGAACCCTTTTACACCAAATGCAGCTCGTTTGCTTTAGTAGTAATAAAAATAAATTACAATAAAAAAAAATTCCCTTGGCAGGGTTCGAGCTCGCAACTGACCGCATTACTTGCTGCCGCCTCTACGCAACAGCCACAACAACCAAAAAAAAAAAATAATAGTTTCCCGGGTAGGGTTTGAACTTATAACTGACCGCGTTACTTACCGCAGCCTCTACTCAATAGGCACACCAATAATTAAATATTAAAGAGAAAAAAGCGAATTAATATAGGAGCACAGAAAACAATACAATCGCAATTGCAATGATGTGGAAAGAATTCAAAGAAGACTCTCATGAATGTGTGTGTGTACATGTACATATACAGAAATTCTTGGAATTTGCGCTTGCTGCTGCACGTGTTTGCAGGCCAAAACACATTTTCTTTGGTGTTTCTTAACCGATCTTGATGAAATTTTCATTAGTATATCTAATTATATCAGAAAATATTCGTGTATTCTCAAAATGACAATTGCACTTAAATTGTGGCTTAATTGGAAAGGCAATACAAGTTGGCTTACTAACATGATTTATAGCTTTTTGGTGGTAGCGTGGAGGTGGCTATAACTATAAAATGAAAGATACTTGATATATACATATATATACTATTCTAGAAGCTACATGTCAAGTTTGGTGACTCTAGCTCTTATTATATACCAAAAAACAGGATTTCGATATCGATTATTATCGATTACTTGGTAACGGGGCAAGTTATCGAATATCGGAAACAAACTCGATCTGCGCATGGACTAGGAGGACCTACAGCTAAAATTTCAAGTCTCTAGCTCTGATAGGTTCTGAGATCCTTGCCTCCACCCTTTTTACCGATTTTCAATGGGTTCAGGGTATAAAAAGTGTGAAACACCCCCCAAATGGATTTGCACAAATATCTTTGAAAATGAGTTTGGCGCCGATCGGATGGTAAACAAAAAAAATTTCTTAGAAACGTTTTTCGCGATTTTTCCACACTCGCGGGTGAAATTGTCTGACGCCCCGTCTTAACGTGCATCTACATCACACAAGGTAACTACAGTGAAAATTTCAGCATCCTAGCTCTTACGGTTTGGGCTGTGCGTTGATCACCAATCAGTCAGTCAGTCAGTCAGGACAAACAGTTTTATATATGTATGTGTATAGAGATTGTTGGATATCGGCTGCGCCATGTGCGGAGCCCCAAACTGCACGTAGATATGATGCGGCCTGCGGCGTGATTACCAACCGAGGCGGCTTTAGGGGTTTTGTACAATTGTTGGGAGTATTAAGATTAGAAGAGTCCTAGACGGTGGCTCACGTAAGTTCACGAGCGGGGTTGTTCATTTTAGACTACTTTAAGTTTTATTGAACTTAACCTAATTATTACAATTACTAATTTGACCTAAGCTACCAAATTCAAAGCTCAATAGAATTACAAAATACAAGAAAGTAATATTACTTAAAGTAAGAGGACTTAAAGCTCGAACGCTTGAGAGACCCACTTAACTCAACTCAACTCAACCATGATAGCGTATCGCGCCTTTTATGTTATTATATATATAAAGGTAGTACGGCACACAGTTGTGCAACTGAAAGCCAGCGTCCAGTGTTGAAATTTCAAACTATAAGCTATAATAAGTCGGAACAAATTGAAATACCGCTTCGTAACTGGCTGTTTTCTTGAGGTAATCGGTTCTTAAATGCCCGGATATTGGATTAGGCTCCGACTTCCTCTGCCAGAGGCACCCAGCATCATGGGGCCACTTGCAGCGCAAGTTGATTTTTGGTTGGGTTTTTTGTCGTTCCACTAATGAAAGGCACATGATACATAAGGCAATTGCTGCTTCTCTCTACCAGGCCAGCCTTTGGGCTTTTGGCTATCTGTACATAATTATCTAGTGTTCTTGACAGCATTTGGTCGGTGGTTGTAGCCCTCTTTACGATTTTAGCTCAATCGCTGGGTCTTGGCAATTAAAATTATAATAAAAGCTCAAGGGAATTAAAATATAAAATATCCCATGGCAGAAAACGTATGGCAAGGTATGCAAGTAATCTCGTGTTGTCATCTACTTCTGAGCCGGCGAATACTTGACCTATATTTACAAGTGATACATAACTGATTTTGAATGTGTCAGCTTATAGAATTCTTAATAAATACATTAAGTCACAACTGGCGAAACAGCTCCTAGTGGCTTCATCTCTATATATAAAACTGTTCGTCCCGACTGACTGATTTGTGATCAACGCACAGGCCAAACTGGAATTTGTATTGTAGTTTCCTTATGAGAGACGGAGTTATGGCAAATTCCTCCCGCATCTATGGTTAAAATTGAAAGATCTTTAAGAAAATTTATTTATTATCCATCCACTGCTCTTGAATGGAAAATGCGGGTCAAAGGTTGATTAAAAAAAGGAATATTTTTCGGCTTCAAGATTCTAACTACAAATTAAGCTGGTTATTGATTCCAAAAACTTTTGTTTGGATTGTATTTTATTAGTTATAAAGTAAATTTCATATAAATTGGTATATTTTGTTTAATGTTCTTATGTTCTCCATGCCTCAATAAATGTGGACATTTTCTCTGGCAGCTCGTTTTTGGTGACATCGAATCGATCCTGTTCTTCGTTAGCATCGTTCTTATTAGAGGCAACGGTAATGGCCTGGCCTTTAGTACCAACACGACCAGTACCACACAATGCAGATAGATGTCAGAATCGGATTGCTTCGACTGCTGCAGTGTGTCAAACACTAAGACACTTGTTTTGCATATATCGGGCTTGACCTGGTACAGGATATATATGCCGAGCACACCATGCGGTCTGCATTCGTACTTCCTTGAATCGGGTAGCACATAGTCCTGGTTATGATGCTAGTTCGGTTTGCTTAGGGTGGTGAAAGAATTATTGTCGTTGCATCTGCTATGTTGAACTTTTTGTTTAAAGCTGTGGACCATCGCCACGCCGTATATGTTTGGCAAATCCTCACCATGGTGACTCAACGGCTGTGCCGAAACTGGCTACCCCACTGCGCGTCGCAGAGCCCACTGACGGCTGCGGATTGGCTGTTGTATGGGCGCCACAAACTGAGCATCGGGATTGGCTGTAAACCAGTCAGTTCTTTGGGCGCCACGAACTGAGCATCGGGTAGCCCTGCCACGGCCATATCACGTGCGTTGCTCGAATGCTGTGAGGTGAGAAACCAGTCCGCGTATTCGTTGACAATCTGTGCACGGGGATGTTATTTATAAATTATTTCGCAGATAATCATATTTAATTAAACGACGATATGAGTCTTCAAACGATTAATTCGCCTTTAGCCCGTTCACGCCAATCCACATCAAAGTATCCATTCATATTAATTATTAAGCGATCTTTAATTTTATAACAAAATGAATATAATTAATATTAGAATAGAATGGTTTCGAGCTTTTAGCGGTATTAAACGACCCAATGCTTTTTGATTTGTCACATAGAGTATTTGTAGTGTATGTGATTACATTTAGACCTCTAGCAGACTAGACTAGCAGAGTTAGGGACATCTAAAAACATCGCATGTTACCACACACACACACACGCACATATGCTTAAATTGCGAAATAAGTCAAATTCTAGCCGCAGTCTGCATTCTTCTACTGTTGTTGTTTGTTGTCAACTATTATTTTTGCTAGCATGCGTGTGTTGGTTTTAGCAAGGACCACATTATGCATCGATGGCATAATTTACAACTAAAATTTGTGTTATACGATGCCATTGTTAAAATAATTTATTATTGTTCTTATTTGTATATTTATGAAAAATGTTTTTAACATATCTTGCATACCAATTGTTAATCATATGTTTGCATACAAACAAGTAAATCATTTTTGAAGACGAATTTCTTCGGCTTTCGACAGAAGTGCTAGTATTATAAATACTATATACTAGTATAATAAACCATACTATTTACATACATGGATCTATATATGACTATACTGCATGTAGTATTAAACTCAACGGGGAATTGCAGCGAGCTTGACTTTTGCGGTTGGCAGTGTGCGAATATAATGAAGTAAAATAAATACAAATGTATCTATATATGACTTTACTGCATGTAGTATAAAACTCAACGGGGAATTGCAGCGAGCTTGACTTTTGCCGTTGGCAGTGTGCGAATATAATGAAGTAAAATAAATACACATGTATGCGCTATAATTGTGATATACGCGTTGGCCATTTACGGCTCCTCTATATATATATGTGTGTATGTGCTTTAAGTGTGCACACGGATACTCACTAGTACTTGGTTTTAATTTGGCGAATGGCGACAACGTCAACTGGATTTGCTGATGTGTCTAAGGATAAGAGTGGGTACGACTCTTGTCGTTGGATGCGGCTGTTACTACTGCTGCTGCTGTTGTTGCTGCTTATGCAACTGTGATTTGGGTCAAATGAAGCCCATATTTTTTTAAGTAGGTGTCTCTGGCATGTATGTATCTATCTATGCAGACAGTGTCCTTGGCTATGAGCACACACACTCACACACACAAACATACATTTGCATATTTATAACAGCCTTACACATATGCGTGTAAGTGTTTTGGCTGCTATAGCGTGCTTACTGTCTTACATTTTGCTCGCTTGCGCTTTATAAATAATAATTTAAAAATAAAGGAACGCTCATTTTATAAATAAAAACAATTAAGAGGCTTTAGTCGGGAATTCCCGACTAGGGGATACTCTGAGAAAAAAAAAACGAATTAAAATAGCAGCACTTGCATACAGAACAGAATGCAATACAATCGCAATTGCAATGCTGCTGATAGAATTCAATAAAGACGCGCATGATTGTGTGTGTGTGCATATATACAGAAATTCTTTCAATTTGCGCTAGATGCTAGATCTTGATGAAATTTTCAACGGTAGATCTTATTATGCTATAGAATATTCGTATATTCTTAAGAAGACAATTGCTTTAAAATTATGGATTCAATTGACGGGTAGATCCAATTGGTTTATTTATTTGATTTGTAGCAATGTTATGTTGGTTGGCGGGTTAATAACTATGACATGAAAGATAGTTGATATATATATACTATTCAAAAAGCTACATGTTAAATATAGCGACTCTTATAACTTACGAGATTTGCACCAAAAACAGAATTTCTATATCGATTTTTATCGATTATAAACGGGGAAAGTAATCAATTATCGGTTTCACGTCCTTAGCTTTTATAACTTCTGAGATCCTTGCGTTAACACATACGGACGGAAGGACAGACAGACTGATATGGCTAGATCGACTCGGCTTGTGATGATAATTAAGAATATGGGGTCGGAGATGCTTCCTTCTACCTGTTACATACATTTGCACAAATACAATATACTCTTTCTACCTATTTTATACCCTGAACCCATTAGAAATGGGCAAACAGGGTATATTGTATTTGTGCAAATGTATGTAACAGGCAGAAGGAAGCATCTCCGACCCCTTTAAGTATATATATTCGTGATCAGCATCAACAGCCGAGTCAATCTAGCCATTTCCGTCTGTCTGTCTGTCCGCCCGTCCGTCTGTCCGTATGTATGAACGCAAGGATATCAGAACCTATGTATTTATAAGAGCTAGAGACTTGAAATTGGCTGTAGGTCCACCTAGTGCCCGCGCAGGTCGAGTTTGTTTCCGATATTCTATAACTTGCCCCGTTTCCAAGTAATCGATAAAAATCGTTATCGAAATCCTGTTTTTTGAGCAATTTTGGTAAATAATATGAGCAAGAGTCACCAAACTTGACATGTATCTTCTAGAATAGTATATATATATCAAGTATCTTTCTTTATATACCTATCGCCACCTCTCCGCTACCACCACAAAGCTATGAATCAAGTTAATTATCTAACTTGTATTGCCCATCAATTGAAGCCACGATTTATATGCAATTGCATTTTTGAGAATACACAAATATTCTTTATTCCATTCTACAATAAGATGTACTGTCGAAAATTTCATCAAGATCGGTTAAGAAACACAAAAGTTATGTGCGCACGTGCTAGCAGCACAGCTGTTGCGTAAATTCCAAGAATTTCTGTATACATGTACACACACACATTCATGCGTGTTTGCTTTGAATTTTATCAACAGCATTGCAATTGCGATTGTATTGTTTTCTGTGCTGCTATTTTAATTGATTTTTTTCTCATCAAGCTCAGTTATAGGCGTGGCCCTTGAGTAGAGGCAGCGGCAAGTGGTGCGGTCAGTTGCGAGTTGGAAGCCTGCCAAGGGAACAATTTTTTTTTATACCCTTGCAGAGGGTATTATAATTTTGTCGTGAAATGTGTAACGCATAGAAAGAGACATCTCCGACCCCATAAAATATATGCATCCATGATCAGTTTCAATAGCCGAGTCGATATAGCCATGTCCGTCTGTCCGGCTGTCCGTCTGTCTGTTTCTATGCGAACTAGTTTCTCAGTTTTAAAGCTAGAATTATGAAACTTTGCAAGAGTGCCTCTTTCTGTTGTACTTATGTCAAAACCAGCTGGATCGGACCACTAAATCATAAAGCTGCCATAGGAATGATCGGTCGAAAAGTAGGTTCTTGTATGAGTAACATTTTTGTTTATAAAGATATCTTGATCAAACTCGGCATTTATTAGTTTTACTATGCTCCTCATATATACGCAAAATCCTATAAAGGTCGGACCACTATATCATATAGCTGCAACAGGAACGATCGGTTGAAAATTAAGTTGTATGGAATTTTGTTTTGTTTTTCAAGATATCTTGACCAAACGCGGCATTTATTAGTTTTACTATACTCCTCATACATATGCAAAATCCTATCAACATCGGACCACTGTGTAATATAGCTGCCACAGGAACGATCGGTCGAAAATTAAGTTGCTGCGTAAAAATTTTTTCGGTTCTTCAAGATATCTTGACCTAACTCGGCATTTATTAGTTTTACTATACTCCTCATACATATGCAAAATCCTATCAACATCGGACCACTGTATAATATAGCTGCCGTAGGAACGATCGGTCAAAAATTAAGTTGTATGGAAAACTTTTTTGTTTTTCAAAATATTTTAACCATACTCGGCATTAACTATTTTCCCTGAGCTTCTTAGATACGGGCGAATCACTATGAGCATTATGAAAAGGTGGGGTCTGCAAGGGTATTAAATCTTCGGCGTGCCGAAGATAGCCCTTCTTTATTGTTTTATTTTCATTTTTCTTTATTACTACTAAATCAAACGAGCACATAGCGCGAGCTGCATTTTGTGTTGGAAGAAGAGGGTTCAAGGTATCCCCTACTCGGGAGCTCCCGACTAGAACCTCTTACTTGTTATAATTGAAGTACATAAAGCCGTTTCTCGCGAATTTTACATATTTGGGGTTGGAATTTCCTTAAGCCCCGCCTTACCTCCATCACACAAAGTAAGTACAGTAACAATTTCAGCGACTTGGTTCTTTCGATTTTAGCGTCGGGTTGATCACCAGTCAATCAGAAAAAACAGTTTTGTATATAGAGATGTTTTGCTTTCCAATTTATTTAATAATTTGTTTAAGTTTTTCATGCTAATATCTCTCAACTTATATTAAAACGGGAGCTCCCGACTAGGAAATCCCCTGAACCCTCTTCGACCAACTCCAAATTCAGCTCGCGGTATGCGCTCGTGTGTAGTTCATATGTATTTGATTAATTGCTACGAAGTGGCTTTTAACCATTTTTATGGGCACCACTTGCCGTCGCCTCTACTCAACAGCCACACCAACAATTGAATCTTAATGAGAAAAAAAAAACGGATTAAAATAGCAGAACAGAAAACGATACAATCGCAATTGCCATGCTGTTGATAGAATTCCATAAAGACGCGCATGAATGTGTGGGTGTACAAGTATACAGAAATTCTTGCAATTTGCGTTAGCTTCCCTAAACTCGTGGCCAGCCAAAACACATTTTCCTTAAAAACTTTTGTGTTTCTAAACCGATCTTAGTGAAATGTTTAATATAAATTCGAGTTTTTACTTGATTTATAGCTATGTGGTGATAGTGGGGTGGTATCGATATCTATGAAATAAAATATGCTTGATATATATACATATACTATTCTAGATGCTACATGTCATGTTTGGTGCCTCTAGCTCTTAAATCCTAGAGATTTGCACAAAAATCACGATTTCGATATCGATTTGTATCGATTACTTGGAAGCGGGGCAAGTTGTCGACTACCGGAAACAATCTTCGCGGGCTCTAGGAGGACCTACATACCAAATTTCAAGTCTCTAGCTTTTATAGGTTCTGATATACTTGCGTTCATACATACGCACGGACGATAGAGTAGGCTATTATTGCTGATCAAGAATATTTATACTTTATGGGGTCGAAGATGTTTTCTTTTGCCTGCTACATACATTTGCACAAATACATTATACCCTTATTACCCATTTTTAATAGGCTCAGGGTATAATAAAAAATAGTTTAATTTATATGTTAGGAAAAAATCTCTGTATAATAACGACATTCCGTAAAGGGAAAAGTCTGAAGTCTGCAAAGTATTTGTCGAAAAGAGAATGCAAAACAATTTTTATTAAAAAGATAAATCTCAAATAACCACAACAGGAGTAAGCAACAAAGTAAAATATTAGACTCGGCATAAGGCGTCAACTGATGCCCAAGTGCGCCTGTCATCCCATCTGGACCAACTAAAGAAATGGAATTCACTGGCGCAGCGCAGGGAAGCGGCAATCGGATTAGATAATTTATGTGTCAGACTGCAAACCGCATCCTCCGAGTTATTTTTGCATGTCGAGAACCCAGACTCAAAGGCCCAGAACCACAGACCCGTTTCCGGTCTGGCATTTTTAGTAATGCTCATGGAGAAGTTAGTCGGGGATATTTATGGGCAGGACGTACTTACCAAATAGAATATGTCAATAAGGTGGCAGTTTTTGGCGTTGCGTACATAAGTGCGTAAAATTGAATCGCGTCTCTCGTCTTCGAAGCCATTTTGTATGTCGTAGGCGCTGAAGCCCCAAATCGGTTAGCCCGTGACAACGCAGAAGAATATGTCAAATGGAATCCGAAAGAGCGAGCACCACCACTTAAAGTAAATCCAGCACCAGATTCATATCGAGATTAGAATGTCCAGGTTGTATGATAAAACCATCAATCTAAATTGAAATTTAGATCCAGAGGGAAAGCAAACAAAGAAAAATGTGAGACAAAAGTGAAAAGCATTCATATCTTTACGTAGCACAAAAGGCAGATACATTCACGCATTGTTTTCGAATTCTCGGCTGGAACCCTAGGCTGTATTTGGTACAGCCGTATATGATAATACCAGTACTAATAATAATAATAATTATTATTATTCGTATAATAAAACAAGTGAGAGGCAATAGGGAATACCATGAACTCTCTTCTACCAACATCAAATGCAGCTCGGGCTACGCGCTCGTTTGGTTCAGCAGTAATAAAATAAAATTAAAAAAAAAAATTGCCTCAATTGGACTCGATCTCGCTATTTGCAACCGCCTCTACCAGACAGCCACACCAACAATTGAAGACTAATATGAAAAAATCGGCTTGAAATAGCAGCACAGAAATCAATACAATCGCAATTGCAATGCTGTTGATAGAATTCAATGAAGACGCGTATGAATGCGTATATACTTATCTTTCAAAGTAAGAGCAAGATTTCTCCTTTATGTTTCATCAAATTTTTTTGTTTTAATTATAATTAAATATTCACCATTAAACAGAAAATAAAAACGATAGTTTACTGAAAGCAATATTTAAAATAATATATTGTTTAAATATTCAATATTCATGCCACCAAAACTGGCTCACTAGAATAGCACAGTTGTCGAAAAATCTTATTTAAAGTTATATACATGATATTTACTGACTAAGCTAAGTAAGTTTAATACAATATAATTAATAATGAGTGAAGTCCCGACGATTCAGGATAACTTCATATATCCTGTTTGGTAGAGAATCATACAAGCGCTTGATATAATCAAGCGATATTCTTGACCAGGCCTATTGGATCCACTCAATAAGCTCCGATTTTGTAGAATATTGTTTACCGGATTCATATAACTTCCCTGCTAGCCATTTCCAAACATTTTCTATACCATTTAAGTCAGGGGAATAAGAAGGCCAGCTCATTAACGTGATATTCTCACGATCCAGCCAAACTTTGACGACTCTCGCTGTGTGGATTGGGGCGTTATTATGTTGAAACTTCCACTGCAAGGTTCCAAACAAATTTCTCGCCTCAGGAAAAGCCTTTTCCAAAAAGATTTTGTATGACTCTGCGTTTATTTCGGTAGTCAAATTTTTGGGTTGGAGCGACCCATAATATGAAATTGTTCCCCAAATCATTACGCCGCCCACTCGACTATGCAATCGGTCAAGTTAATGCTCTTTCTTCCTTAAATCGTGAAAGTAATAGTTATAGCCATCCGGGCCCACCAAATTAAATTTTTTTTTGGTCGGAGAATACAACTCGGTGCCACTCCCGCTGTATGGTCATATTGGCTCGGCAAAATAATAATCGCTGCTCCTTTCGAACACTGTTCAGGGCTGTTTTTTTTTTAGTTTTCGACGTTTTAGGCGTCCTGCCCTCCAAATAACCCGTTTAACTGTAAAACATATGCAGTAACACTCGATTTGTCGTTAATTTTAGCAGTCGAATCATGCGAGTTACTTAGATGCACACCTCAAAACGGCTCTTTTATCAACTGATGAAACTACGCTGGATTTTCTTCCTTTCATACTATTTCCATAGCCATGTGGATTCCGTACAAAAGTGCTCATGACTTTTCGACTTCTGTTAATTATTTGCAATTTCGTATATAGAAGGGCCACACTCCTTTAAAGCTTTGATTTTTCCTTTTTCCTCACTGTTTAAAGGTTTTGCACGTTCCGCTTTTAATTATTTAAATAATATCATATAAATTTCTTTTCGAAACTGAACGTAACGTGAAGATGAACGAGAAAGAAGGGCTATCTTCGGCACGCCGAAGATTTAATACCCTTGCAGATTCCACTTTTCATAATGCTCATAGTGATTCGCCCGTATCTAAGAAGCTCAGGGAAAATAGTATGGTTAAAATATTTTGAAAAACAAAAAAGTTTTCCATACAACTTAATTTTTGACCGATCGTTCCTACGGCAGCTATATTATACAGTGGTCCGATGTTGATAGGATTTTGCATATGTATGAGGAGTATAGTAAAACTAATAAATGCCGAGTTAGGTCAAGATATCTTGAAGAACCGAAAAAATTTTTACGCAGCAACTTAATTTTCGACCGATCGTTCCTGTGGCAGCTATATTACACAGTGGTCCGATGTTGATAGGATTTTGCATATGTATGAGGAGTATAGTAAAACTAATAAATGCCGAGTTAGGTTAAGATATCTTGAAGAACAGAAAAAATTTTTATGCAACAACTTAATTTTCGACCGATCGTTCCTATGGCAGCTATATTATACAGTGGTCCGATGTTGATAGGATTTTGCATAAATACAAGGAGCATAGTAGAACTAATAAATGCCGAGTTTGGTCAAGATATCTTTATAAACAAAACAAAATTTCATACAAAAACTTAATTTCGACCGATCGTTCCTATGGCAGCTATATGATATAGCTGGTTTTGACATATGTACTGCGTGCAACAGAAAGAGGAACTCTTGCAAAGTTTCATAATTCTAGCTTTAAAACTGAGAAACTAGTTCGCATAGAAACAGACAGACGGACAGCCGGACAGACGGACATGGCTATATCGACTCGGCTATTGAAACTGATCATGGATGCATATATTTTATGGGGTCGGAGATGTCTCCTTCTATGCGTTACACATTTCACGACAAAATAATAACACCCTCTGCAAGGGTATAAAATGGGAGCACCATTAAAATGATGTATTAATTTTGTGCGTCTTTTACGCAATTTAATCAGAATCGCCTATTAACATTCCGGCGTATTCCCCAATGAGAAAAGAATTGTTTATTTCTGGAACCGGCAGAAGTATTAGAAACAAAATGCAAAAGAAGTTTGACAACTAATTGCATTAATCTGTGAGCTATACGCATTTTCGCATTTCAAGAAACTAACTAACTACACGGTTGCTTTAATGACTGTGTTTCTTAACCGATCTTGATGAAATTTTCAACAGTAGATCTTTTTGTACTATAGCATATTTATATATTCTCAAAATGTCAATTGCATTATAATTGTGGTTTATATTGGTGGGCAATACAAATTGGTTTATTAGCTAGATTTATAGCTAAGTGGTAGGTAGCGGGGTGGTGGCGATAGCTATAAAATGAAAGATACTTGATAAATATAATATATATATAAGCTAAATGTAAGGTTTGGTGACTCTGTCTCTTGTAACTTACGAAATTTGCTAAATAAAAAACAGGATTTTGATAACGATTTTATCGATTACTTGAAAAGGGGCAAGTTATCGACTATCAGAATCAAATTCGTACTGCGCTGGCACTAGGAGGACCTACGTTCAATTTCAATTCTCTAGCTTTTATAGGTTCGGAAATCCTTGCGTTCATACATACAGACGGTCGGACGGACGGACAGACAGACGGCCATGGCTAGATCGACTCGGCTGTTGATGCTGATCAAGAATATAAACACTTTATGGGGTCGGGGATGATTCCTTCTTCGAAATCCTGTTTTTTTGAGCAGTTTTGGTAAATAATAAGAGCTAAGGTCACCAAACTTGACATGTAGCTTCTAGAATAGTATATATGTACATATATTAAGTGCCTTTCATTTTAAAGCTATCACCACCTCCCGGCTACTATCTCATAGCTATAAATCAAGTCAAAACGCCAATTTATGCTGCCCACCAATATAAGCCACAATTAAATGCAATTGACTTTTTGAGAATGCACAAATATTCTATAACACAATAAGATGTACTGTAGAAAATTTCATCAAGATCGGTTAAGAAACAGAATTATTAAAGAAAACGTGTTTTGACTTTCCTTGTATCAGCGGCAGCAAGAGCAACTTCCAAGAATTTCTGTATACATGTCACACACACAGATTCATGCGCGTCTGCTTCGATTTCTATTAACAGCATTGCAATTACGATTGTATTATTTTCTGTGCTGCTATTTTAATTCGTTTTTTACTCAATAAGACTTAATTATTGGTGTGGCTGTTGAGTAGGGGCGGCGGCAAGTAATGCGGTCTGCTGCGAGCTCGAACCCTCTCGTGGAATCAGTTCTTTTGGCTGGTGTGGCTACTGACTAGAAACGGCGGCAAGTATTGCGGTCTGTTGCAAGTTCGAAGCCTACTGAGGAAAAAATTTTTTAAATTTAGTTTCATTACTACTAAAGCAAACGAGCGCGTAGCGCGAGCTGCATTTGGTGTCGGAAGAAGAGGATTCAGGGTATCCCCTAGTCGGGAGCTCCCGATTAGAACCTCTTACTTGTATTAATTTATCTTTCTTACTACTAAAGCGAACGAGCACGTTGGTGTTGAAATAAGAGGGTTCAGGCAAAGACAATATAAACACTGTGTTATAATCACTGTGTTTATATTGTCTTTGGTTCAGGATATCCCCTAGCCGGGAGCTCCCGACTAGAACCTTTTACTTGTTTTTCTTCTAATTTATTGATGTTTTTTGTGTTTTAGGTATATGCAGACACATACACAGGCACGCATACATGTCTCATATATATTGGGAGACCTTTTTTTTTAAATCTTTCCTCGGTTGAATTTTTGCCATATATCAAATAAGAATTTTATTTAATATTCTCGGTATTATACTTTATTGCGTTGCATTTTGCCACCAGTTGAGTGCTTGTAAAATAAAAAGTAACGATAACGTAAGAATAAGCCAGGGCCTACACGCGCCTAAAAACTAGCAATACTTTTGTCAATTGCCCGATTTAACTTGAGCTGCACAGAGATGGGCGGCCACACACAAAAAAGCACGCACATACACAGAGAGGCTAAATGCACAGAGAATCTGCAGCTGGTCCTTTGTGGCCATGACTCACGAATGAATTCCTACGACTGAAGTTGAACTTTTGGCTTTTTGAGTTCGCTGCTGGCTGCTAGAGCAGCAGCTGTTGCTATGTAGATTAAGCTTCAGATAGAGAGAGTACTGAAAGAGAGTACTGCAGAGGCAGAGAGTGTACGCATACCTGGAAATGGAACGTATTCTGCATGGGGAGCTTTCGCTCTTACAGTCCTCTCTTATATCTCGCAAACCTTGTTTAAAGGGTAGCTAAATTTGTTTGGCCGCTTAAAGAATTCGTATATTAAAGAACTCGTATATTGAAAGCTAAGCGGAAAAGGAATGAAATCACAAGAAACAAAATAAACAAAACAATTTATATCTAACCGTACTATTTTGAACTCAACGTCTAAAGTCATATTTAAATAGATATTTTAAAATAAGTTTAAGTCCAACGAATAAAGAACCTTAAGCTGGAATCAACGTTTCCCGCATATGTTAATCTTGCAATATAAACTTTCGTTCATTAAGCACGTGTCGAATTATTTTCCGGGAAGATTCTAAGAAACTAAATTAAGGCCGAAACTTCGCATACGAAATCTTTGACTACCATTTATCCCAAGGAGGGTTGGATTTTCCACCCCTCAATGAATTTAAACATAAATCTCTGTTACTGCTTTTGAAGCCGATTAGATGGTAAAAACAAATGTTCTTACAGTGGTTTTTTCCTATTTTGTCCATACTTGTGGTTAGAAGTTCCCAAAACGCGCCTTACTGTGCACCTCCATCACATAAGATGACTACGGTCAAAAGTTCAACATCCTAGCTCTTACGATTTGACCTGTGCGTTGATCACCAATCAGCTGGTCAGGACCAACAGTCCAATATATAAAGAAGAGAGATAAATAAATTAATAAATATTGCAAGGCATCCACTTGAATAGGCTGGCGGACTCTGCGTGCAAAAACGCAAAACGGTGTAAGCATCTGATTCAGTTTTGAATATCGTTTACGTTTATGCATTCAAAGTGTGGAAATCATTTCGAATCTATGCAAGTATTTTAGGCAATTATTCACAAGGATATCTGTGTGCATGTCTATGTATAAGTGGTTGTGTATGTGTGCGCTGTGTTTGGAGTGCTACTACAGTTGGATGTATAAGCGAGTGACTTATACATAAGCATAAATCAAATTATTTTCTATTAAATTTGGGGCTGACTAGCGCTGAGAAAAACCAAAAGCCATGAGGTCATGCTTAGCGACCAAATGGTGTGCGTGTGTGTATATTGGACTGTAGGAACTTATTCTTACATATTGTGCTCGATGGGTTTATTTAATTTATGGGAATTCCCAAAAACTTAGGATTTAAATCGCGATCGCAGTCCGTCAAACCGTTGGGAGTGAGAATATAATGCTAGGAGACATATCTGATAGTTAAAATACTCTGATAAATATAAAATTAAATGTCTTTTTTTTCATCGGGTGGTTATTGCCTTTCCCTAATTGATCAAAGCAAAATATTTTCTAGTTTTAAGTTGTCACATTGTAAGTTGCAATGAAATATTGGCAATCGTTTAGAGAATAAGATAAGGACTAGTACGATTGGGAGTCATAAACATGCACTTGGACCAAATCCCAAAGTTGTTTAAACTTCAAATCAGCTTGTGCGCGATTACATCGTCGGCATACATAATCATTTGTGCATGTTATACAACAGAGGGGAGATCATTTAGATTATATATTAAAAATATATAATACTAGCGGGTATAACCAGGCCTTGCCCGTGGCAGGTATGTTATAAAATCAATGTTCTTAAAAAAATTTGAAATGATTTTGAAACTGATCGGACGGTAAACACATAACTTTCATAAAAACGTTTTCCGCCAATTTACCACTGTTGCGAGTGGAATTTCCCAAATCGCTGAAACACGTTCTCATTACATTCTTATATAGAGCTTTGAAAATAAGTTTGAAGCAAATCGGACACAATTTAAAACTTCGCACAAAAATCATTCCACCCGAAAAAGTTTGGATTCTGCGAAAAGTGTGAAACACGTCTCAATTGATTTTTCTTATAACGAAACGTCACCCACCAAATCTTTGACCCTCATTTCCACCAAGGAGGAACGGATTTTTCGAAAAGTGTAAAACACCCCTTAAATGAATTTGAACAAAGATCTTTGAAAATAAGTTTGGGGCCGATCGGATGGTAAACAAAAAACTTTCATACAACCGTTTTCCGCCAATTTACCACTGTTGCGGGTGGAATTTCCCAAATCGCTGAAATACGTATTCATTAAGTTCTTATGTAAAGCTTTGAAAATAAGTTTGAAGCAAATCGGACACAACTTAAAACTTCGCCCAAAAAATCTTGAAATCGCATTCCCCCGAAGAAGTTTGAATTCTGCGAAAAGTGTGAAACACGTATCAAATGATTTTTCTTATAGATCTCTGGAAATGAATTTGAGCGCGAAACGTCACCCACCAAATCTTTGACCTCCATTTCCACCAAGGAGGAATGGATTTTTCGAAAAGTGTGAAACACCCCTCAAATGAATTTGAACAAAGATCTTTGAAAATAAGTTTGAGGCCGATCGGATGGTAAACAAAAAAGTTACATACAAACTTTTTTCGCGATTTTTCCACACTTGCGGGTGGAATTTCCCGAAACCCCGTCTTAACGTGCACCTACATCACATAAGGTAGCTACAGTGAAAATTTCAGCTTCTTAGCTCTTACGGTTTGGGCTGTGCGTTGATCACCAATCAGTCAGTCAGTCAGTCAGTCAGGACAAACAGTTTTATATATAGAGATAATATAGACAGAGAGAAAAACGGCGGGTTAATGATAAGACCTTTTGTACTTGATTCTATACCAAAATATTCGTAACGCTTTGAGCCCGAATAGATCTAAAAATTCGTGAGTTAAGTATAATGCGTACTTAATTTGAAATAAACTCTGAATGGACTTAGAATAAGTACTAATATTCTTGAATCAAGTACAAAAAAGTTATTTTACGTAGTATTTGTACTTAATGTAAGCTTTAAAAAATCAAGAATAATAAAAGTTAATTCAAGATTTAAAATTCTTGAATGTAGAATCTAGAATCATCGGAGGTTGCAAAACAGAAGAGAGCAAAAAATTGAGAGAATTATGAATGCTAACGTAAAAATGTACCCGGAAAAAAAGCGACATTGCCGAACCACAAACTTCGGGAGCTTCATAAGCAGTTTGGTTTGATAGATTTACATATGTATGTAGATAATACATACATATATTTACATACATAGATAATACAAATAAGTTTATATACATACATATGTATCCATAGAGTAATAAACAGATCTGTTTATTAATCTATGAGCCGAAGCTGAGAATACATTATTTTTTTAGCTCTTGGCTCTTTCGGCTGTGAGAGCACAATGATACAGATGTCGTTTTCCTTCTCAAATTTCAAAAAATCAAGCTGCATAGTAGCATTTTGTTGTATGGCGTTACTCATCTAAGTGTTTATATTGTCTTTGGTAAAACTAATAAATGCCGAGTTTGGTCAAGATATCTTGAAAAACAAAAAAATGTTCCATAAAACAATTTATTTTTTAACCGATCGTTCCTATGGCAGCTATGTGATATAGTGGTCCGGTGTTGTTAGGATTTCGCATATAAATGAGGGGCATAATAAAACAAATAAATGACGAGTTTGGTCAAGATATTGTGAAAAACAAAAAGTTTTCCATACAACAACCTCATTTTCGACCGATCATTCCTATGGCAACTATATTATAAAGTGGTCCGATCCAGCTGGCTTCGACATATGTACTGCGTGCAACAGAAAGAGGCACTTCTGAAAAAGTTTCATAAAGATAGATTTAAAACTGAGAGACTAGTTCGCATAGAAACAGACAAACGGACAGACGGACAGACGGATATGGCTATATCGACTCGCCTGTTGATACTGATCTAGAATATATTTACTTTATGGGGTCGGAGATGTCGGAGATACTGGACGCAACGATCGCACACACAAACTCTGCTGGCATTCGAATTTTCTAACTACTTGCGCCGGGGGTAGGTTCTGCAACAAAAATGTAGTATCAAAATTGTATTGTTTTTGTTTCTACGCGCTGCCTTGTAGGAACGACAGAGAAACCAGCAGCAAACACTGTTCGGAGTTACTTTTCAGCTCTGTATCTGTTTATTACTCTATGGGGACCAACCTTACCGTGCTTGCTTCGGAATTTAAATTTAAATCTGTTTATTACTCAATGCTGCACAACCATACCAAGAACTTTCTCTAACGAAAAAAACTAAAATAGTAGCCCATACACACAGCACTGAAAACAATACAATCGCAATTGTGATTATGATTGCATAATACAATAAAGACGCACATGAATGTGTGTGTGTGTTCATAAATTCTTGCAATTTGCGGTAGCTGCCTCAAAAACGTAGCCAGCCAAAACACTTTTTATACCCTTGCAGAGGGTATTATAATTTTGTCGTGAAATGTGTAACGCATAGAAGGAGACATCTCCGACCCCATAAAGTATATATATTCTTGATCAGTATCAACAGCCGAGTTGATATAGCCATGTCCGTCTGTCTGTTTCTATGCGAACTAGTCTCTCAGTTTTAAAGCTATCTTTATGAAACTTTGCAGAATTCCCTCTTTCTGTTGCACGCAGCTCATATGTCAAAACCAGCTGGATCGGACCACTATATCATATAGCTGCCATAGGAACGACCGGTCGAAAAGTAGGTTCTTGTATGAAAAACATTTTTGTTTATAAAGTTATCTTGACTAAACTTTGTATTTATTAGTTTTACTACGCTCCCCATATATATGCAAAATCCTATTAAGATCGGGCAACTATATCATATAGCTGCCATAGGAACGATCGGTCGAAAATTAAGTTTTTGTATGGAACATTTGTAATGTTTTTCAAGATATCTTGACCAAACTCGGTATTTATTAGTTTTACTAGGCTCCCCATATATATGCAAAATCCTATTAAGATCGGACCACTATATCATATAGCTGCCAT